AATTTAAAATTTGGAAAAAAATGTGATGGTACCCCTAGAGCTCGAGGCCAAAAGTAAAAAACTAAAATTTATACATTACTGACAAGTCTTTTTTATATGAAACTTTTACAGAGGATTTTACATGCAAATAAAAATAACCATGTAGAATTTGGGAAATCTTTTGATGAATTTAAAATTTGGCCAAAAAATGTGATGGTACATCTAGAGCTCGAGGCCAAAACTAAAAAGATAAAAATTTATACATTACTCACAAGTCTTTTTGACATGAAACTTTTACAGAGGATTTTACATGCAAATAGAAATTTCCCTGTCAAATTTGGGAAATTTTTTGATGAATTTAAAATTTGGCCAAAAAATGTGATGGTACCCCTAGAGCACGAGGCCAAAACTAAAAAACTAAAATTTATAATTTACTGACAAGTCTTTTTTATATGAAGCTTTAACAGAGGATTTTACATGCAAATAGAAATAACCATGTAGAATTTGGGAAATTTTTTGATGAATTTAAAATTTGGCCAAAAAATGTGATGGTACCTCTAGAGCTCGAGGCCAAAACTAAAAAAATTATAATTTATACATTATTGACAAGTCTTTTTGACATAAAACTTTTACAGAGGATTTTACATGCAAATAGAAATTTCCATGTCAAATTTGGGAAATTTATTAATGAATTTAAAATTTGGCCAAAAAATGTGATGGTACCCCTACAGTTCGAGGCCAAAACTAAAAAATTATAATTTATACATTACTAACAAGTGTTTTTGACATGAAACTTTTGCAGAGGATTTTACATGCAAATAGAAATTTCCAAGTCAGATTTGGGAAATTTTTTGATAAATTTATAATTTGGCCAAAAAATGTAATGGTACCCCTAGATCTCGAAGCCAAAACTAAAAACAATTGTAATTTATACATTACTGACAAGTCTTTTTTACATGAAACTTTTACAGAGGATTTTACATGCAAATAGAAACTTCCATGTCAAATTTGGGAAATTGTTTGATGAATTTAAAATTTGGCCAAAAAATG